TAATATAAAAATTTATATAAAATTAATTATAAATATTATAATTAATAAAACTTAAACTATACCTTTAAAATGTAGTTTAGACAAACCTAATTAAGAAATCAAGCTTTCCTTTTCCTTTTCTTTTTCTTTTTTTTTTTAATGAGAAATCAGGCGCTGCTTTTACAGCTTTTTTTTTTACCATGACTTCTAAAGAAACAATAAGATGGATCATGAATGGCTCTATAATTGGATTGGATTGGATTGGATTCTGATTTCTACGAAATCTCCGTTGGTGGGCCTATTTATTTTGGTATACTTAAAAGGGCCCAAACGAAGCATGCAGGCCAACGTAAATCGAGAATTATAACAGACTAACAGCAACAAACAAAAGAGAATTTATTGGGCCTTCGTAAAATATAAGTCTGGCTTTCAAACTTGGGGCTGGGAGATGGGCTAAAAAGAATTTACTGGGCCTTGGTCGAATATAAGCCGGGCTGTCACCTGATCACCACTTCCAAATCCCTCGTGTCTTCGTACCGCTTCTCTGCGACGCTGAGGAAATCTCCGATCTCTGCAAACCCTCGATGAAGTTCTCCGCCGATTAAAAACTGTGCTATGCGGATATCCTCCCTCCTCATGAGGTAATTTTAGTTCTTTTCATCGAATTATCAGGTGATTTGGTATGTCTCTTATGGAACGAAATATTTCTTTAAGGTTCGCGCCAGGATCCCAAGCGTCGTTGTTCTCAATTTCCCAAGATCTTCAACTCTCCCGATCCGAAAATCTCAGATCTACCTAACGACAATTTTCCTCAATTCTCAGCTATTAACCACATATTTTGCAAGCTAATGGATTGAGTTTCCCTAGATCGCACATAATCGCACATAACTATTACTTTTTGTGTACTGTTTGGTTGATGAGAAACCTATGGACGGAAAATGTAGGATTCCTATGATTTGCGTGGTTTTGCTTTTGAAAGATGATGATTGTTGCTTGAATTTGTTGTAGTTATTTGGCAGATTTCTGACAAATCGGCCTAAAATTTTCTAGTAGTTACTGTTTTTTCTAATTAGTATTTTTTGTTCAAAACGCACATAATGATGCATAATAATCGTTTTTGTGTATTTGTTTGTCGATTTGGTTGGTTGATGAGAAACCTGCTGACGGAAAATTTACGATTTCTATGTTTGGATTTTCGCGAATGGTAACTGTTATTAGAATTTGTTATAGCCTTGTAGGTTTATCACAGATTTTACAACCAATCGGGCTAAATTTCTCTATAATACACATAATCTTAGGGTTTTGTGTTTGTTAAATCACACACACAGTCAAGCGCAACAATTCAGTTTTGTTTATTTGCTATTTACTAAATCTCATAATAATTTGTTTTTGTGTAGG